AAGTACGCACCACGGGGACAGGTGGACGCTGCACCGACGACCCCTAGAGCTGTAGTTGAAGCCTCTGCTATCCTAACGCGTCGCGCGACCGATCACTCCAGTGCCGAGCCAGCGCATGGGCAGGTTGAGCAGTTTCAAAACCAGTGTAAAATACACTGTTTGAATCGTGGATTCATTGGACTTTCCACAAGATCTCAACCGGAAGGAGACGCCATGCCACAAGAATGGTACGCAGCGCATGACGCAGCGTCATCAACGTCGATGACGCGCGACCCGTCCAAGCTCGCGCTCTTGAAGCGCAAGATGGCTAAGAAGGAGGCGCCGGTCGTCGCAGGGCCACCGCCACCCGTGCCACCCCGCCGGAGCTCGAGCGATCTTGTCGCACCGGTCGACGCGCTCGTGACTGCCACTCTTTCCGAGGCGCCGTCCTCGCCGGCCAAGCCACCGCTGCCACTGCCCCGTCGACGCTCCGAGAGCACTCGCCATGACGCACCAGCGAGTCGCATACCCACCAAACGCGCCCTTCCGGTGCCGGCACCCATGACGTCATCAGCAGCAGTCGCACTTGTACCCGCCGACGTCGTTGCTACCGGTCCAAACGAGTTGATCGTCGCTGATGCCGACTCCGAGAAGCAGCTCTCTACAGCCGACGACTCTGTCGACGAATGCACAGCCGCCGACACGCCGATCCCAGCGCCTTCTGGCATTCTTTCGATGCCATCAACAATCGCATGTGCCAAGAGCAGCGCCGCGCCGATGAGCGCGATGCCAATCCCAGCCGACGCAGCTCCCTTCGCGCGCAAGTCGTTTCAAAAGCTCGTCGTCAAGTGGAGCTGCAATACATGCACGCGGGAGTGCATTCCAGTGCGCGAAGAAAGCCGCTGTCTCTGGTACAAACACGCTGCCTTCTCTCTATGCCGCTCAGGACGAAGTCGTTTGGTGCGTAGCGGCCATCGCCTCAAGGAGCACCCGTCGAGCGTCGACGATCCGCGGGTCAAGGACGCCGCCAAGTTCACGCCCTTTGCGTGCACGATGAGCCGCTGCGTCTGCAAGTCGTTCTTCTACATCGTCGCCGAGGGCGCTTGGATACTGCGCTGTCGATGCAAGCACAAGCACATTGAGCACGACGCCGGCCGACCACCATTCGTGTGTAAGAAGCCCAAGTGCGGCTGCACCGGGTTTGACAGGTACGGGTTGCTAGCTCAAATGCAAAATGCATCGGGCGCGTCACGACGCTATGGCGTAGTCCGTGGGTATGCAACTGCGCCCATCCGTGGAGCGACCATAGACAAACCCAAGAAATCAAGACGTTCCACCCTTTGCAAATGGACCTCTGTGACGAGCTCTCCAAGGTCTACCGTACCGATCTCGAAGCCGAGCCGCTGTCGCTTCACACGTGATCCGCACGGCCACTCTAACCACAACCAATACGACTTTGAGGACTCAATTGCATCGTTGTTCGATCACTTTTGCACTTTCTTCAACCCTAAGCCTTCGAAACACGACGTGCTATGTCCTTACACATCGCGCCCCGAGGCCGCGTCGGATGCACAGTGTTCCTTCCACGGCCTTGTCGGTGACTGCTTCTATCTGTGGCTGTTTGATCATTCGTGGCCACAGAGGCAGCGGCGTGGCAAGGTTGCTCCTGGCTGCCAAGCAAAAAGCGATGTTAGCTGCATCCTACGACAGAGTGCTGAGAGTTGGACATCGGTCTTGACACACGAGGCGTCAACGACGCCACTCGAGTCGAAGTCTACACGCAACATACATATATATTCCTTTTAGGTTTAGATTCGAAAGCGCTCGTCGTCTAGTGCGTGGGCAGACGTGCGCTTATCGCCACATGTCGCGGACGTGGAAGCGGCCCGTGACGATGTAGTAAATGACGTAGCTGATGCCGCAAAGCACTGCGAGCGCAACGAATGCCCGCCAAAACGACAGCCGTCGGTGGAAGGGCGGGGGCGCCGCCGTCTTGTGCCGAAGCGACGGGTCGTCGCAGATCGAAGTCCCGACCGCAACGTCCACGCGAAGACGGAGCATTGCATGCTTGTAGTAGCTGATGGCGTGGGCCAGCGTTGTGAGGCGGTCGACGCCATTGCTCAAGTCGAGCCAGAGCCGAATGTCATGTGGCTGCGGCAGCATTTCGTCGGTGGACACGTCGTCGCTGCTGCGCTCGACGAGGTCGCGCACAAGGTCGGGCAGGTCCGGGCAGCTCTCGGAGGCCAGAGTCATGAGCAGCCGCGAATGCACATCGACTGTCAGCTTTTGGGCACTGGCGTACGTAAACGGCCAAAGCAGGAGTGCGCAGATCTCAGGCGCGCGCTGCACATCGCGCTGATGGACCGTAAAGAGGCCCGTGCTCGTGCGCACCGTGACCTTACGCGTCGGGACGTCGTAGGCAATGACTTGGCCGTGACAGACCTCGCTGTCGTTGACCGTGACGACGACACTGTGGCGATACCAGAGGCCGGTTTTCGCGACAAGCGCTTCGTCTTCCGAGACGACGTGGCCAAGCGAAAGCGCGGGCAACGAGAGCGCAGCGTGGGAGCCCTCGCATGGGATCGTCGTCACTGGATGCGACACCGAGTCGCCGACCCGCGCGTAGACAGGCTGCGTGAGGAGACCGCCGGGCACGTCCTCGGGGAGGAGGTAGATGAAGGCGTTGGCCTCGTAGCAGAGGCTCGAGCGCGCGTCGACGTCCGACGTCATGGTCGCGCCAGGCCGCCCGCCACGGGCTTGCTGCTGCATCATCCGCAATCTCCTGCAGTGTCTCTTCCGCCGCTTGTGATTGGCCAAGACGCCAGTTCTTCGATCGTTCGAAGATTTGCGTCATCTTGGTCGCGTTGCCTGTAGCGCAATCTCGGTTTGCCACGTCATTTGCTCTTCCTCGAGGAGCGTGGAAGGCGCCTCTTGCGAGCGCACGTCCGAGCGAATGTGATTATACGCCTGGAGGCTGCTTGAGGGCGGAGACGTGTCGGATACCAGCTCGCATACTGGACCACGAGGTGGACTTCGAACTTCGCTTCATTTCTGACCAACGAGACGTGAGTGTTACTCGCGTGTTAGATATGCATGACATTGCTCTAAGCTATGGCTTGTTGCACGCCATTTTAGACCCGCCACCATCAAGGCCTTAGACAGAGGGTCTTGTTGCTATACATCGCTCATGACACGCACCGTCTCGCTTGGAAATGGGGATGCGACTTCGCATACGCACGGGATCATGTCGATAGAGAAGTCCTTGTAGCTCAAGGGGTACGTTCGAAGTGGCGTGCATCTAGTCGCAACACTCTGGCACAATTCTAACACTGTTATGGGTGTTACAATTGAAATTGAAGCGCGATGACCACGACGCACGCGACGCGGGACACGGAGCTGCACGCCGACTGCGTCGAGAGCTGCCCCGTGCCGGGCCTCGAGCACCTCGTGGCCGTCGGTACGTACCACTTGACCAAGCACCCGGCGGCGCCTGGCGAGACGCCGCTGCCCGACACGCGCAGGGGTACGGTGCGGCTCCATGCATTATCACGCGACGCCGCGAACGCCGTCGCCGTGACCGACGTAGCGACGCATGTCATGCAGAGTGGCATCTTTGACATGAAGTGGTCGCGCGACCGCGTGTACGAGAAGGCGCTACTGGGCCTCGCGACGGCGGCTGGCACGCTCGAGCTTCTCGCGTGGTCCGAGGTACCTTGATGATTCGCTTCGTTTAGCCTTGGGTC